ACAAGAAAGAAAGAGGGGGGCTTCATAACAAAAAGTCACCCTGGCTACAATAGCCATATATCATTCAGAGGAACAGACATCCGGCCCCGCGCGATTACTTTCACGCGCAAAGGTAGTCATGCAACTCAACTATTTGCACCGTTGTCAGGCCCGACATCTGACTACTGTTTTGTAAAGATGGGCAGCCTAACCTTTGTCAACGTATACCGTGCCCCAGGCACTAATGGAACCTTGGAGCCCCTACTCCGGTGGGAAGTTAGAGGTTTAGTGGTTGTTGGAGGCAATTTCAATTCTGTGTCACAGCATTGGCAACCGCAAATAGCAAATCAGTACGGCAATCATAACCAGGTTATGGAATGGGCAACAGCCCACGACATGGACCTAGTTAGCATTGTTGGAGAGCCAACGCACAGGGATGGGAACGTCCTATATCTAACGTGGAGCAACACGGCCGCTATAGCACCAGTGTCCAACCGCTACCACTGTACCTCATATCACTCGACCATCGAAGGTACCGTGCTTAACCCTACAATGTCAGGTCTCTCTGGGACTGTAAAGAACATTCGTGTCAGCGACGCCCACTTGAAGGAATTTAGCCGATGCGTTAGCCAATGGACCAAATCTGGCCCTCTCGACAGTGTTGTCAACATCGAAAACTTCACAAATAATCTCCTACAAGCACTTGGAGATGCGCTCAAGATTGCAGGGAAAGTCACAGCCATTGCAAGCGGAAGAACTGGGCCATGGTGGACGGATGAATGTCGTATAGAATGGCAAGAGTACAAGGCAGCGAGAGACAACCCTGAACTCGCGAAAGAGGCCCGCAAGAGCTTTAGAGCCGTGGTGCGAAAAGCCAAGCGAGAGTACTGGAAGAGGCAAGTAGAGGCAGTGACTACTGACGCACAAGTATTCAAGCTCATGAGATGGGCTAAGCCTCGACCAGCTGCTGAGCCCCCTCCCCTGCAGATTGATGAAAACCGGTGGCTATCTGACCCGCGAGAGCGAGCTAGTGCGCTACGAGACATTCTCTTGGCTAGGTTTAGCGGCGAGAACGACATCTCTATCTGGGAGAATGGACAGGAGGAGCGTATTCCATGGGATACGGAATTATCACTGGACGATGTGACAAGCGCCACTGTCTCTCTCAACAACACGGCATCGGGAGCGGACAAGATAACGGTACGGTTACTGAAAGCCTGTTGGTCCCATCTAGGACCTCTCGTGAAAGATCTTTACCAGGCCTGTCTGAAAATCGGCTACTTTCCCACGGCCTTCAGGGTGGCAGAAGTTGTGCTTCTTCCAAAGCCGGGTAGAAATCTGTCAACTGCCGAGGGTTGGCGACCAATCTCGCTGTTGTCGAGTTTAGGTAAAGGACTTGAGCGTCTAGTTGGTAAGAGAATGGCATGGCTGGCAATAAGTCACCAAGTTGTTTGCCCACAACTATTCGGATCTGTACCAGGACGATCTGCAGTCGACCTTGCATCCTGTGTAATCTATGATGCTGAGGCGGCTATGAGAAGTGGTAAGTGTGCGGCTATGGTCACACTCGACAATCAAGGTGCATTTAATGCAGTCCTTCACAACCGACTGCTTAAACGCTTTCGAGAACAAGGCTGGCCACGATCCCTGTGCCAGTTTATTCAGACATTTCTTTGCCAACGAAAGGTTCAGGTCAAATACCGCGGTGGAATCATAGAAGAGAAGATACTGGAATGTGGAGTACCTCAGGGCTCGCCACTATCGCCACTTCTTTTCATGCTACTCATCGCTGTGATTTTTGAGGATCACGGTCTAACGAGTAGGTTTGGTTATGCTGACAATGTAGCTATTATCAGAATTGGAAACACCGCGGCGGATGCTATCTCCGCAGCTCAAGACGACCTCGATAGCCTTATCCTTCTTGCAAGAGAACACAGGATCAATTTTAACCCAGCAAAGTCAAAACTTCTGGTGACCGGAGGAGGGCCTAGAAAGAAAATCAACGCGGCTGATCTTTCCATCTTGGTGAAAGATCGCCGGATCGAATTGTCACCTCATATCCGGTGGCTAGGAGTCTAGCTTGATACTCAGCTAAACTTCAAGCAACATGTACAGGAATGGACTGGAAAAGCTAATCGTCTAGTCCATCTCTTACGACATATAAACGGAGCTCAACGTGGTGCAGCACCCGGACCTTTGATTCGTGCGATACATGCATGTGTTCTGAGAACAGCTCTATACGGGGCAGAAGCGTGGTGGCCAGGTCTCACTCGAATAACCACACTATGAGATAAAGAAGTCAGCACTGGAGTAGGCTGGCATATATCTCTCCTGGGAAAAACGATAATGAAAGCTATCAGAGTAGCACTCCCAGTGTGGCGTACCACTCCCAATGACGCTCTTCATCGTGAAGCGGGAATACCCCGGCATCGATAATTCTTCAGCAAAAGATGCCGCGGTCTGCAGCTTGTATGCGAAGAATGGATGCCTGGCACTCTCTAGCCCTTCGGGTGGCTGAGGACCCGAAAGAGAAAATAAGACGCTTAGGTCTTAGATCGGGACAAAGAAATCGCTAGTTGAGACAACCAGAACGGTACATGACACGCCTACAAATAAGGGTGCGTCGAGTTCCGACAGCCGAAGGCCCTGGAAAGCTATACTTCCCACGTGGCACCCCAGCATCAACTCCATGTAGTCGAGAAAAAGAAGCTAGGTCTAGAAGCATAAAGCGATGGTTAGCTTCCCTTACAGCTAACACAGTCTTCGCTTTCTCTGATTGATCATCATCGGGTCCCGAAAAATCAGCCTGGGGGTAATGTAATATACCAAGGAGGCAAGCTAGTTGCAAGTGGCTCTGGTCCACTTCCTGGAGCAGAGGTATTCGACGCAGAAGTTGAGGTGCCATGAAAGCCTTGAAGGCTGCAATAGAGGTAGGAGAAGACTTACTGATCTGCATTCTTCTGGACAACCAAGCGCCCACCCAGGCGCTCGAAAGAGGAAGATCTAACTCCTCGCAGTCGGTGGTGGACAAGTTTTCATCGCTGAGACACAATAAGCGTGTGGATATACGCTGGATACCCGGATATGTGGGGGTTCAAGGCAATGAAGAGGCCGATAAGCTGGCCAAATCAGCCTTGGGAGCTCCCAATAGCCGGTCACTAACCTCAGCTGCGCCCAGTGGAGAAGATCAAGATCTAACCTTTGTGGCATTAAGGAGGTGGGCGAAACAGCGCAGCCAAGAGCTTGTCGAAGAATTGTGGCAGATGTGTCGACCGAAACAATACAAAGATCTGGAACTATTCATGCGTTGCAAAAGATCACCGGAACTAGCTTTACCAAGATGGGCGTATCACTGTCTAATTGCGGCAAGAATAGGCCACGGGGACTACGCCGACTACCATCGACGTTTCAACCCCGAACATGAAGATCTGAAATGCGTTTGCGGCCGAGAGAAAAGGCCCTGGCATTTTAAAGAGTGCCGACCTGCTTTGCTACGTTGGAGAATCTATGAGAAAATGGCCCCACCTGGGGCCAGGGAAATGATAGGGGAGAAGTGATAGCAGAAGTTCATTTAATTCTTAACTACAAGCAGATGTTACAGTTTGCCGAAGAATGAACAGGGTTGGAGGTGACCACACTGAGATAGTTTCTGACCCGAGAGGAGATGGGTATGGAAGATAGGGATGCAGCGCGGGGCACCGTAACTCAGAAATTTATTGTTCCTTTTATTTCTTTTTTTTTCTTTTGTCGCTTCTGACTTTAATGCCAGTCATGTAGTTAGCACTGAGCTCTCAGAGCCCATCTACCCGAGTCACGTCTAAATAGATGCTAGGCTCTTTTTTTTTTGCATCAGATTTTAATTGCGTATGCATCTATCTAGTAATAGCGCAGCATCAGAGAAAAATTCCAGAAAATACGACTAAATATACAAATAGAGCAATCATGCCTCAGATTTCATTTGCAAGTACCACTGCAAAGTAATGGCTGCTTTTTCTTCACCCCAAGTCAACTCTCATCCGTGAATACCCACCCAGGGGAACGTTTCAAAAACCCTGAGTTATCCAAACATGCCTCCGTCATCTATTTACTTTTATCCGCGCGAAATGTGATCTGGGATGTCTCCTTCCTAAGTCGAGTAGGTGGTCAGGCTGCTCAACTGTACCAGAGAACACCGCCAGGAGGTGGACCCCGGCACCTTCCATCGTTGGCTATATTTTATGGTGTCAGCTGCACTCTCGCATTCGAAGTGTTAGCGCGCACAATACTCTTCAATATGTAAATTTCTTAGCCAAATTCGAAATCTCACACGCGCCGAGACTGTATTCTTCCTTCACATTATCTTGTAAAACTGTCCTGAACCCCCTCACGTCCATGCAAAGATCTGCTTCCCAGATTTATGCGCCACGCTTTGCTTCCTCCTTCTGGTGTAAATATCGACGTGGGCGTGTATTTGGTGGTCAACTGAGACCAGAGAAGGTCGAAGAGAGGTGTGGTCATTGGGATGAAGATGTACTAGGTCTTACTTGTAAACTTGTAAACTTGATGAGACTTAGGTAGGCGTCAAACTCGTTGGGAGCGGAAAAACGACGTAGTGGAGTAATTTTAAATTTTGCCTCGTGGGCCAACTTCTTTGATATTGCGAAATTTGACTGAACTTGGCTCTGGGAGAATATTTCACTCCCAGGTTCGTAGAGGACACCGCGTACAGGTGTTCAGTCTTGCCCTCCAGATGCTAGGTTCGTCCTGTCACGTTAAATATTTCAATTTCAATTTCGTCGTCCAATAATTGAATCTGAAACTTCCACCCAGAGTTTACTTTTAAAAGTCTGCAGGCCTTGTGGAATCACGCAATATTTGAGAAGAGGTTCTATGTTTTCTCAAGTTGAAGATTTCTAGACATCTATAGAGAACATTTATCGACTTGTGGTGTCAACATTTGTCATCACGTGTTTATAGGCAAGATTATGATACGGCATCGTCGTACTGCCTATCAACACCAGCGATCAATTTGGAATCTCATCATGAATCGGACTTACTCACACTGGTCGCGAAACCTGTACAATTCCTGCCCTCAAAAAATACTAGCTTCACCCTTACATGCGTGCATCAACTCAGTCATCAGAGGACAATTCCCAAGATGGTATAGGACCACGAAAAATGCGGACACTGTGCGCCTAGCTTTTGATCTCTACGAGCCCACCAAACCCTCGATAATCACGAATCCTATTATAATCATGCACGGTCTATTTGGGTCCAAGAAAAACAATCGAACTATCAGCAAGTGAGATATTTAGACCAGTGTGGTAACAACTCCCCTGACTCTTGGATTCAGGGTTTACTCCAAAGAGCTTGGAAGGCCTATTTATTCAATAGTAAGCGTGGAACTAACTGCTCCAAGCACTGTCTCAAAGATAATGCTCTAGGCTTATATCTGTAATAGGACCTCCGAAATCATGGGAAATCTCCACATCGCCAAAAATTCGACTATCTCACTATGGCTGCAGATGTCGTAAGGTTCATTAAGGATCACGATCTAGGACAGCCAACTCTGATCGGTCATTCGATGGGTGCCAAGGTGGCCATGACATTGGCGCTTTTGAAGCCTGAGTCTTTTCGAGATATTGTTTCTGTTGATAACGCGCCTATTCAATCATCGCTTCCACATGATTTTAAGCGGTACATTGAAGGCATGCAACAAGTCGAATTAATGAATGCGACCAAGAATAGTGAAGCTGATAGGATATTACAGCACTATGTTGAAGTATGCCGTAACCTCTCACCCCACATCCGCAGCATTCGCGGGCTCCTATCTGATTATATACAGTCTTATCCAGTCCGGCAATTTCTCCTCGCCAACGCCTATCGAACAAAATCCAATTCGATGAAATTTCAAATACCTCTAGAAACTCTCGCCCACTCTCTTCCCAATCTTGGTGATTTTCCTTTCAAACAACCTACCAACTCTCGATTCAACCGGCCGGCCCTGATAGTTCGGGGTACAAAGAGTGAATACGTGCCAGACGAGTGCTTTCCTGTTATCGAACGACTATTTCCCCGTTACAGTGCAACAGATATAGAGGCTGGGCATTGGTTAATATCGGAGAATCCTGAGGCATTTCTCAAGGGTAAGATCTAAGAATCAATGTACCTATATACAACTTACTAATCACTGTCCGCAGCCACTATTGATTTCTTAATGCCTAGAGAACAAAGCCGTTGAAAATTATCGTCCTCTTACTATTTTGCAAGTGGCTCTTGATCCTTCGGTAGTATTTTGTAGATATTTGCCCCGGCTTTGCCATTTTTTCCTCTCTAAAGTAGTCTAGCCTTCAGAATCATCACTCATTAAATAGAGTTGACCTCCTTATTTTAATATCACCCTAAATTTTTATATTTTTCATGAAAAAACTTAATCATCTATAATTACAATGTATATCAATCCTGAAAACATGATGACGGTAAGGTGGCCGCATTCTATGAGAGGCAAAATTCATGGACACTTCAAAGAAACGAGAAAATTTCCGGTGATCGAGCTTCTACAGACCCTGAACGTTGGGAAACCGCAAGTATCGTCACAGATTGTTACGGTTTGACCGTGGTTTAGCTTAGGCGGAGACCTAAGTGGAGTTTGGGGGCGTATTCGGGAGAGTGTTACACATTATCTTGTATCAAGCGACTTAGTTTCACTTGGCCACATTACATTAAAGCTAGGAAGGAATGTGAGACGGCGAAGTAGAATTGCCAAGTGAGAGGGTCAGCTAGATGGCAAAGATGACGACGGGCAGTGGCGAAGCAATATGTCATTCTCACCAACAGAGTACGTATTGGATGAGCTAGAAGGATGTACAAATAGTCATTGCCCGTAGTTGTGATACTTCTCTCTTCATATAGTTTAATCTTTCTAAAAGTACACTACAACCAGCTTGGTTTCGTCACATTTTAAACTATATCCTTTTTAGTTTGTGCCACCCGTCATTGAGCAGATCGCGACCTCTATTTGCGGCTTAGGGTTATCATCAAACAAAAATAGAAGTGATAGTGGATGCCAATTTATACAACACCTTCTTCAACTTCTAGCGAAACTGTCGGTTCACAGAGCGGCCTCTCCTTTCAGACAGCCTTGGAATTCGAAAACCTTGAAACAGTGACAATGGACGCTCAGATGAGTAATGATCGAGTAGCCACCGAGGGATTAACGGAAATAGCGGAGCCATCTCTTCTCGCCGAAATCAGGGCGATGAGATTAGGGTACGAACGGGAAATAAATTCTCTTCGAGAAGAACTAGCATCCATGAGAGATAGTCGATCACATGGTACATTACATGTGAATGACACTGCGGAAATGCCAAGTCGCAATACTTTCCAGAGACAAAATGGATTGCCAGTAAGTAGAAGAAAGGCTCTCAAATGGCCAGAAGCCTATGATCATAAAAATTCGACGAAATGGCCAGCGACATATGGCGTCCTCAAGTACATATATCAGCGAAATGTGGAAAACGATGACTTTCTTCAGCCATCGGATTTCTTTATGCGCCTTTTCAGCTGTGCTGTTATTGGCGATGCGAAAGATATGATCTCTGGAAAGGTCGAGGAAATGATGAAAGACGGAACAACGTGGGACGCGATCGGTCTATTGAAATCAATGGATGACACTTTTCGAGATCGGAACGCTGATAAAAATGCGTCAGTACTATTACATGCGTGTAAACAATTCAAAGACGAACGATTATCGTCCTTCTTACCTCGATTTCAAAGACTTCTCGCACGTAGCCCCTCCTCAACTGTTGGAGACGTGCATAAGTTGCATCTGTTAGAAAATGCCTTGAATAAAGCGACTCAAAATCATTTAATCGGGCGTACACAACCAACAAATTTCATTAGTCTCGTCGAGTTCTTATATACAGTTGGAGCTCAAATAGAGAGAGTGGGCATGGTCAAAACGAAAGAGTATGCCGACGGACAAATAGGCACTTTCGACGATGCGACGCGGGGTGTGACAGGAGGTAAATTGCTTGGAGCTAGCTACACACCTTCGTATAATCACACATATTCGACAGAGAGTCGTGAGAGAGTTGAAGATGGTGATGGTGACACGAAAATGACTGGTGTCAATAGAGCTCGAGCAAAATGGGTTTCATCTAAAGAGTACGAGAAGCGAAAGGAAGATGGTCTGTGCCTGAGGTGTGGAAAAACCGGGCACATGATCGGGAAATGCTGTCTCCTTCCGTCACGGCGTCCGACAACGTCTGTTAAGCCAAGTAGGCTAATTAATACGCTTGAGGAGAGCGAGTTAGACATGGAATCCAATTCGGAAGAGTTAAAAGAGTAGCTCTTGAACAAAGTCACGTTCAAGAACCGTTCCATAGAGTGAGCAAAATGACGGCACTTTCGCAATCCATGGAAGACAGAAAAGCAGAAAAGAAAATGAACGGGAAATCTTTCGTAATAGACTCCTTAATCAATCAAATCTACTCTGTTCCAACACTTATTGACAATGGATGTGAATGTTATGCTGCCATCAGCGACTCTTTAGTGCGCAAAGCTAATCTCCCGAGAATAAAAGTAGCTCCCAGAAAGCTTACTGAGGCAACTAGTGGCCAGAAAAAAGACCAAAATATTACAGATATGACTAAAATGGTTGTAGACATAGATGGATATAAAAAGACTGTCTATGCATACATTATTCCGAAACTTTCTCATCAGCTGATACTTGGGAAACCGTGGATGGAGCATGAGGATGTAATATATCATGCAAAGGAACAATTCATGGAAATTCGTGAGGCAATTATAAACAGTCAGCCCCTTAGAGTATGGGAAAAAGGTTCGCATCATGAAAGGGCAGTAAATTTGAATGTATCAAGCCTCTCAGCGGGTGTATTTCTTGCAACCATAAGAAGGTCTAGAAGGGAAGGTGCTGAACCAACTCAGTTGTTTGCAGTAACGTTGGATGACATCCAAAAAGCGCTCGCTCCTACGACCAAGTCTACAGCCAACCTAGAAAAACTCCCAAAGCAATATGACAAATTTGTTGAACTCTTCAAGAAAGAGATAACAGACAAACTCCCACCTCACCGACCAGGCTGCGATCATGAAATTAGGCTTGAGCCTGGAAAAGAAGTGCCATGGGGGCCTCTCTATGGTATGAGTAGAGATGAATTGTTGGTCTTGAGAAAGACTTTGACAGATTTGGTGGATAAAAATTACATCCGTGCGAGTAGCTCCCCTGCAGGTGCGCCAGTGTTATTTGTCCGGAAACCGGGAGGAGGGTTACGTTTTTGCATCGATTACCGAGCTCTAAATGCCTTGTCAAAAGCAGATCGGTATCCTCTACCCTTAATAAAGGAAACTCTAGCCAAGCTAAGTAAATCAAAATGGTTTACAAAATTGGATGTACGATCAGCCTTTCACAAATTAAGGATAAAGGAAGGAGATGAATGGAAGACTGCATTTCGTACCAGGTTTGGACTCTTTGAATGGCTGGTGATGCCCTTCGGGTCAAATGGAGCTCCAGCGTCTTTTCAGAGATATATCAACGAGACGCTGCGCAAATACCTTGATGATTTCTGCTCTGCATACGTTAATGATATCTTAGTCTACACGGACGGAAGCTTAGTAGACCACGAAGATAAAGTACGGCTGGTGCTAGAAAAGTTACAAAAAGCCGGTTTAGGACTTGACATTGACAAATGTGAATTTAGCGTCAAGAAGACAAAGTATCTTGGATTCATTATATCATCAGAGGATCCAGTGCCCTCCGTTAGAATGGACCCCGAAAAGGTCAGAGCTATATCAGAGTGGGAGGCACCCACAACAACAAAAGGACTGAGAAGTTTTCTAGGTTTCGCGAACTTTTATCGCGGCTTTATTAGCAGATTTTCTAAGATTTGCGCCCCACTAACAAGTTTAACAGGAAAAGGCACTGTGTGGAAGTGGAATGTTGAACAACAAGAAGCCTTTGACACACTAAAGGCTAAATTTATCGCAGAGCCAGCTTTAGCACAGTGGGATCCTGACCGAGAAACAATGATAGAAGCAGATAGCTCAGGGTTTGCATTAGGAGGCTGTCTATTCCAAAAACAGAAGGGAGAGGCGTGGATCCCTGTGGCATATTACTCTCGAAAATTAAGCAGACCGGAGATGAATTACGAGATTCACGACAAAGAGCTCCTTGCTGTTGTTGTATGCATGAAGGAGTGGGATGCGGAATTGAGAGGGTTAGCAAAAGTCTTCACAATATTGACTGATCATATGAACCTTAGATATTTCTTGACAACAAAGAAGTTAACTGAACGACAAATACGTTGGGCAGAATTTCTATCAAGGTTTAGATACTCAATTCAATACAGGAAAGGGGTAGATAACGAAAGACCGGATGCCCTTTCACGTAGAGACCAAGATAGGCCGAAAGAAGGAGACCCACGTTTGATGAGCCGAGAAAGACAGTTGCTTAATCCGGTCAATATTATTAAAATATGTCTAGGTGATGTCGAAGTTGCAGAAGGTAAGAGGATTTTTGTCAATGAAGATCTACAATTGCTATGGGATCAAGCGCTCAAACATGACTTAAATTTCAGGCGAATCGTAATAGCAGTCAAAGGTAATGAGCGAGCATGGCCGAGAGACCTTAAAGTAGACACAGAAGGGTCTGAGCATCCTACAGCACTTAAAGCAACAATTGCAGCTTGTTTGTTTGACGAGGAATCCGGGTTGCTTTACTACCAAGGTCGGATCTGGGTACCATTATACGAGCCTTTGACAACAGCACTAATAGAAAATATTCATAGCTCAACCGTTTCCGGACACCCTGGCAGGGATGCCACATTAGCACAAATAGCAAGGGATTACTTTTGGCCAGGTATTAGTAAAGCGGTTAGAAGATTCTGCAAGAATTGTAATGTGTGCGGACGTTCATCTATTTGGAGACATCAAAAGCAAGGACTTCTTAAACCACTTCCTATACCTGAACGCTTTCATCAAGAACTTTCAATCGATTTCGTGGTTGACTTACCCTTGTCAAATGGCTCCCGGAATATTATGGTAATAACAGACCGGTTACTAAAATCGGTAACTTTAGAAGCTATGGATAAAATGGACGCAGAAACGTGCGCAAAGAGATTCTTAGAATGCCATTGGAGATTCCATGGTTTTCCAAAAGCGATGACGAGTGATCGAGGCACAAATTGGACGAGCAAATTCTGGAAACGCCTTTGCGAGCTTGTT